AGATATTTCAGTTTTTTCGTTGTCGCTTTCTTATGTGAAGGAGCAATTCGTAATTGTGCAGTTTGGAGAAAGTTATTGTTTATTTTCGACGCTGGCAAGTCTCGAGGGATTAATTGAGGTTATCTATTACTTTTGTCACCACACAGTCACAAAATGACATGGAATACGTTATTTTTCATTGCAACAATCTAATTGTAAGTCTAAATCTAGTTATGTTTTTTTAATAACAATAACCGCCAATGGGGTAAAATGGATCCAAAACATTCAAAAGAACAAAAAATTTATGGATTAAATTCAATAGCTCAAACTTTACTTTAATACTGCTTATTATTATTAATGTAATCTCACCAGTTGAAGATTTTCTTTAATTCCTCGTTAAATGTTATTTCGGAAAAAAAAACTTCTGGTACTAAAACCTAAAATCAATTATTCTTAGAAATTAATTAATTATTTAAAAGTACTTTAGTACTGAATTTGTTCGTCAGTTATAAATATTTGCAATGTTTTTTTGAAATATCCATTTTATCTCATTCTCCCCTGAGACTCATGATTGTGCGGCCAGAGGAAATTCGATGGAACAACACGTGCGCTTGAACTCATTAATTCTGTGATTGAGTTTCAATCTGGGAGATATTTTCAATATTTTGGTATCTCCCATTTTTACGTGCATTACCCGCGATTAACTGAAAGTTAACTTACATCATTCACCCAACCGAGAGAATTTTTCGATTGCAATGTGTTAAAACGCGATAAGAGAATGAATAAATAAATAAATGGATTGTGTCCGGAAATGTTAAGATTTGAAGATTCGAGCCCAATCGGAAAAATAAGGAATGAGGTGAGTTGACTTTGGTGATCCCCAACCACCTCCAAAGCCTCCTCATTCATTATCTTTCACATGGTCTCTTATCATTGCAGCCCCTAGAAAATGCCTCAGAACGAGTACATCGAGCGTCACCGTAAGCTGTACGGTCGGCGTCTCGATTATGAGGAACGAAAGCGAAAACGAGAGGCTCGTGAGCCCCACAAAAGGGCCCATCAAGCCCGCACCCTCCGGGGTATCAAAGCCAAGATATTCAACAAGGAGAGACGAAACGAGAAGATCCAGATGAAGAAGAAGATAAAGGCTCACGAGGAGAAGAAGGTGAAGGAGAAGAGCGAGGGTGCACCCGAGGGAGCTCTCCCTGTCTATCTACTCGATCGAGATGTCACCCAGAGGTCCAAGGTCCTCTCCAACATGATCAAGCAGAAGAGGAAGGAGAAGGCGGGCAAGTGGGATGTGCCTATACCCAAAGTCAAGGCTCAGTCCGAGTCTGAAGTATTCAAGGTTGTCAAGACTGGAAAGTCTAGGAGAAAGTCGTGGAAGAGGATGGTGACGAAGGTGACGTATGTTGGGGAAAATTTCACCAGGAAACCACCGAAATTCGAGAGATTCATCAGGCCTATGGCTTTGAGATTCAAGAAGGCACATGTCACTCATCCTGAACTCAAGGCCACCTTTTGTCTACCTATTATTGGAGTTAAGAAGAATCCCAGCTCGGCCATGTACACGTCATTGGGTGTTATCACCAAGGGTACTGTCATCGAGGTCAATATCTCGGAGCTCGGTCTTGTCACGCAGTCGGGGAAGGTCGTTTGGGGAAAATTCGCCCAAGTTACCAATAATCCGGAGAATGATGGGTGTATCAATGCAGTTTTACTTGTTTAGTGATAAGAATTTTTATTGTCATGGTTTGGAAATAAAGAGGAATTTTTTTCACATGATTTTTACTGTTGATTTCGTTATTCCTTATTTCCGATGATTTTTTATTTTTGTGTCAAGAACAATTGTTCTGCTACCGGTCGAATGAACATTTCATAATAATTTCAATTTCAAAAATTGACGATAACTCCAAGAACAATTATCAAAATCCCTCTAATTGGGGTTTTAAAAATTTGTCTCGGTGTTACTTCAATTGAATTTGAAAACGGCGATGATTACTTTATTAGTTATTAAGATATTTAATATTTCAATAAAATGTACAAATAATAACGGTTAAAAAGGCAAAAGGTAAATAGAACTAAGAGATCAGAAAAGTGTGAGTTGAAATATTAATT